CCAGGTTCAGCTGTGCCTGGTTTGAAGGGCTCAACCCAGAGGGTTTCCAATTACTGTTTTTGTTTTCATTGTTGTTGGGGGTGAAGGGGTGGGACCAACTGAGCCTGATCACCTGGCTCCCTGACTCAGAGTCTTTTCTTTTAAGTTGAAGGACCCCACGTTCCAGTCGCTTGTTGAATAGGCACCGGGATCTCCCATGCTGTGACTCACTGAGTCAGCTCAAACAGCGGCACCGGCTCCTGGTGGATTTTTTGCCTAGGAATCTCCTGGCCTGACTCGCTATTTCAGATGAATGGGCAACTCTGCCATCTCAGGGCTCCAATTGCCAGCTAAGAGGGCTCCCAGACCAGTGGCTTTTGTACGGAAAACCGCTGCAACAGGGCATGGTCACAGCAGCTGCACAGGCCAAATCAGCCCCATGGGGGCCAAAACAGCCGCACCGGCCGGGACTGCGGTGCTTGCGACCCCTCTGCCTGGGTATCTCCTGGTCTGTGGGCAATAAGAGTTCGTCTGGAAATGCGGCGTCCACTCACCCTCTGCACTTTCACTGGGAGCTGAAGTCCTGAGCTGTTCTTAGGCGGCCATCTTCCCAGCATTCCCTCTTAATGCATTTTTAAATCTTCCACATATCACTTGCTATGCTGCACTTCTCATTTCTAATTATGTTTTTATTTGTATTTTTGCATTTGTATTAATTAGATTGTCAACTGTTTATTTTATTTTCAAAAACAAGCACACTGCTGCATTTACTTATCAAGTCAATTTTGTTGAGACTTATATTTAACCCTGCTGTCTTGTCAAGAAAATAAATACGAATCACAAACACTGAACTTTGGGTTGTTAAGTTTGTAAGGTTAGTTGATGCTGGGATATAAGTCCATGAATTTAAGGTTAAGGTTAAATACATAAATGTAGTGTAGTGTCTTATTAAATAGAAATGTGCCTAGTTTTAGTGCTTAAAGAAAGAAATAGTAGATGTGTTATATATAATGTAGATCTCTTTTCAGGAAACTACATGGAAGTATAGAGGGTAATCCTCTGAGAATACAAATGTTCTTTAGTTGTTTTCAGTTATTTGAAGAAATTTGCATATGACTCTTTATTTCTGAAGGTTGATGAGGAATAAGTGGACTGGATTGTGTTAGACACAACAGTTTATCTCAGTAGTGACTTTCTTTTTTTTTTTTTTTTTTTTTTTTTTGAGATGGAATCTCACCTTGTTGCCCAGACTGGAGTGCAATGGCATGGCCTCGGTTCACTACAAACTCCACTTCCCGGGTTCAAACAATTCTCCTGCCTCAGCCTCCTGAATATCTGGAATTCTAGGTGCCTGCCACAAGCTCAGCTATTCTTTGTATTTTTTGTAGAGACAGGGTTTCACCATGTTGGCCAGGCTGGTCATAAACTCCTGACGTCATGATCTACCTGCCTCAGCCTCCCAAAGTGCTGGCATTACAGGAGTAAGCCACTGTGTCCAGACCCAATGGTGACATTTTTGGATATTCATTGGGCAAAGCATGTATAGAAAAAAAAACACAGAAGATTTTATAAAGCACTCTAAGGTCTGGTTGAGGAAGGGCTGGAGTATAAAAATGAAACTAAGATGACCTACATAGGCTATTCAGGGGATATAACACAGACCAGGGCATAGAATAGGAGATAAGTGTGCTACTATTACATATGGAAAACAGCATAATTCTGATAACTTAAAGAATTGCAGAATTATTGGTGCAGAGTCTATTAAAGAATGCCATCAACAGAGAAGAAAAAGAATCCTTGAATTGAGGTAAGAGCAGAGAGCTGCCAGAAGTAACACCTACATGCACCAGAGAAAAAAACTGATGGTGAACACATAGTGTCACTCTATGTGAGTGTTATATTAACAAGGAGTCAGTGGAAGCAAAAACAAACAAAAAATATTTCAACTTGTTACTCTTCTCATCTAAAGTTGAGGGTTTTTTTTTTGTCAATTCCTCTTGAATCTAATCAGACTTGGATTAATCTAGTGACTGCTTTGCTTAATACAGTGTGGCAGAAGCAATGCTAAGTAACATCCAAGGAAAGATCATAAAAGGCCTCAGGGTTTCTGTTTTGTCTCTTGGCAAACTTGTGCTATTGTCATGATCTCTCTGATGGCTCTTCCTGCTGCTCCTTTTCTGGAAACCCGCAGTAGGTTGTGAGAAGTCCAAACCACATGAAAAGCTAAATAGAAGTAGTCTGATCGACTGCCCCAGATGAGTCCAGACTTGGAATAATTCCAGCCCAGGCATCAAGCATGTTAAAGAAAAAGTCTTAGGTTAATTACAGGAGTAATTAACGCAGTTCATGGCACTCCCAGGCATTTGAGTCATCTTAGATGAGAACTCAGATACAGTGGAGCAGGAACAAGCTAGACCCACACTATCCTATTTAAATTCCTGACACAGGGAAACCATGACTGTAATGAAGGATTGTGTTATACCTATAGATTGAGGTAATTTGTTATACCTAAAAAGGTAATCAGAACAAAACACATACACATGTATGTATACTACTAGAGAGATGAAAATATTTAATATAGGCTAAAGATAAAATAATGTATTGAGCAAGAACAGAAAGTTTGCATTATCAATATAATTAGCCTTTTTAAATCCAGTTTTGAAATGTTGTGATATGGAAAAATATATACATGCATACATACATGCATGCATACATACATACATAATATATAGAAGCATAAATATGTAAAGAACACTACCTCCATGTATAAATAGATTTTTAAAAAGTTATTTATGATCTACTAATATAGGTCAAACACTGCTGTAGGCTCAATACATATTCTGACTTTCTGTGACAAAATTGATAACTAACCGAAGATTTTTGTTTAGAGAAGTATTAGCTCTTTTTTATTTTATTTTATTTTATTTTATTTTATTTTATTTTATTGCATTTTAGGTTTCGGTGTACATGTGATGAACATGCAAGATTGTTGCATAGGTACACACATGGCAGTGTGGTTTGCTGCCTTCCGTCCCCTCACCTGTATCTGTCATTTCTCCCCATGCTATCTCTTCCCACTTCCCCACCCCCCGCCCCTCCCCCATTTCCCCCCAACGGACCCCAGTGTGTAGTGCTCCCCTCCCTGTGTCCTTGTGTTCTCATTGTTCAGCACCCGCCTATGAGTGAGAATATACGGTGTTTGATTTTCTGCTCTTGTGTCAGTTTGCTGAGAATGATGGTTTCCAGGTTCATCCATGTCCCTACAAAGGACGTGAACTCATCCTTTTTGATGGCTGTGTAATATTCCATGGTGTATATGTACCACATTTTCCCTATCCAGTCTATCATCGTTGGGCATTTGGGTTGGTTCCAGGTCTTTGCTATTGTAAACAGTGCTGCAATGAACATTCGTGTGCACGTGTCCTTGTAGTAGAATGATTTATAATCCTTTGGATATATACCCAGTAATGGGATTGCTGGGTCAAATGGGATTTCTATTTTTAGGTCCTTGAGGAATCGCCACACTGTCTTCCACAATGGTTGAACTAATTTACATTCCCACCAACAGTGTAGAAGTGTTCCTATTTCTCCACATCCTCTCCAGCATCTGTTGTTTCCCGATTTTTTAATGATCGCCATTCTTACTGGTGTGAGATGGTATCTCAATGTGGTTTTGATTTGCATTTCTCTGATGACCAGTGATGATGAGCATTTTTTCATATGTTTGTTGGCCTCCTGTATGTCTTCTTTTGTAAAGTACCTGTTCATGTCCTTTGCCCATTTTTGAATGGGCTTGTTTGTTTTTTTCTTGTAGATCTGCTTTAGTTCTTTGTAAATTCTGGATATCAGCCCCTTGTCAGATGGGTAGGCTGCAAAAATTTTTTCCCATTCTGTTGGTTGCCGATTCACTCTACTGACTGTTTCTTTTGCCGTGCAGAAGCTGTGGAGTTTGATTAGGTCCCATTTGTCTATTTTGGCTTTTGTTGCCATTGCTTTTGGCGTTTTGGTCATGAAGTCCTTGCCTACACCTATGTCCTGAATGGTTTTGCCTAGATTTTCCTCTAAGGTTTTTATGGTATTAGGTCTGATGTTTAAGTCTTTAATCCATCTGGAGTTAATTTTGGTGTAAGGTGTCAGGAAGGGGTTCTGTTTCTGCTTTCTGCACATGGCTAGCCAGTTTTCCCAACACCATTTATTAAACAGGGAGTCCTTTCCCCATTGCTTGTTTTTGTCAGGTTTGTCGAAGATCAGATGGTTGTGGGTATGTTGTTTTTCCTGCGAGGCCTCTGTTCTGTTCCATTGGTCTATATCTCTGTTTCGGTACCAGTACCATGCTGTTTTGATTACTGTAGCCTTGTAGTATAGTTTGAAGTCCGGTAGTGTGATGCCTCCTGCTTTGTTCTTTTTGCTTAGAGTTGACTTGGCTATGCGGGCTCTCTTTTGGTTCCATATGAAGTTTAAGGTGTTTTTTTTCCAGTTCTGTGAAGAAGGTCATTGGTAGCTTGATGGGAATAGCGTTGAATCTGTAAATTACTTTGGGCAGTATGGCCATTTTCACACTGTTGATTCTTCCTAACCATGAACATGGAATGTTTCTCCATCTGTTTGTATCCTCTCTTATTTCATTGAGCAATGGCTTGTAGTTCTCCTTGAAGAGGTCCTTTACGTTCTTTGTTAGTTGTATTCCTAGGTACTTTATTCTCTTTGTAGCAATTGTGAATGGCAGTTCGTTCTTGATTTGGCTCTCTTGAAGTCTATTACTGGTGTACAGGAATGCTTGTGATTTTTGCACATTGATTTTGTATCCTGAGACTTTGCTGAAGTTGTTTATCAGTTTCAGGAGATTTTGGGCTGAGATGATGGGGTCTTCCAGATATACAATCATGTCATCTGCAAATAGAGACAATTTGATTTCCTCCTTTCCAATTTGAATACCCTTTATTTCTTTTTCTTGCCTGATTGCTCTGGCTAGAACTTCCAGTACTATATTGAATAGGAGTGGTGAGAGAGGGCATCCTTGTCTAGTGCCAGAACCTATTGAGAAGCCTGTGGGCCAGCAGCAGGCCAGTACAATAAGCTGCAGCATAATTTGTCAGGCCAACCTTCACACCATATTTTGGCAGTTCGTGTGCATATGCTGCGCAGACTATCATATTCCCCTCTATACGGGCATAAGCAATCTGACAAATGATATCTCTGTTTGTTACACGAACTATCATCCTGTATTTGGGTGTGTTGTATTTATTTTTATCCTGTATCACCAAGCGTTTCCGAGCATAGTAATCAGTTTTACCCTCTCGTCGTCTTCTAAATTTCACTTGGTATCTCTTAAAGTATGCCTTATTCTTAACAACTTTAACAAACCCCATCCTGCGGAACAGAGACCTGCGTCCGCGGCTCGACACAGACCTCGAGAAGTATTAGCTCTTTTAAGAAAAGCTGATAGTTCTGAAGCCAAGATGACCTTATAAAATTAAAGTCAGTAGACAGTGTGTTCATACTTAATATATTATTTCCAAATATTGGAAATAGCTACTGTGTAAGAAAATGCATGTTGTGGTTATAAGCATTTTCAGCAACAAATTGCTAGGTATTTTTACAGAAAATTAAATGTGATATATTGACATTTTGATACTCTTTAGCTAATTTGAAAAGATTCATTCATTCTACAATATTCAAATACTTATTTAATTTCATAGTTTTTGTGCTTATAATTTTATTGTGGTATCAATTACGCATATATTTTAGTTTAATGAATGTAGTTTGCTTTCAAAATGGAGACTAAGCTTATTATTACTAACATTATCTAAAATAACATATAAATCATTATTGCAATTTGTTTTCAAAATTGAAACTACCCCTAATATTACCCCATTCTCTGAAATAAGATATAAATCATTTCTATCTTCCAACAGAATGCCTTAATTCCTCTTTCTAGTTAAACTTTTCCACCATTACATATTACCACTTACTGATTTTAGTCAGCATAATTTAGTGGCTGGTTCTTGTGTGTTGTATGAATAGAATCATTAATGTGAAAAACAGCTTCTGACATGGCCGCTAATAATTTTCAAGTCCTTGTATTCATGCCCTGACTTAATTCCGTCCCTTTGGTGTGTGTTGGGTCTGATAACTTGCTTCCAATGGCGAGAATGAGAGAAAAAAAAAAAAAAAAAAAAAAAAAAAAAAAAAAGTCACTTCTCAGGATTAGGTTATAAAGACTATGGCTTCCACATTGGGAGCACTCTTTCTCTAACTTTGAAAAGACAGTTCTGAGATTTTAAAAGCTCTTTCTGGTGTAAAACCAAGGCAAGTTTATGGTCAATATTCATTTGGAAGTGAGACTCAGTGTCCAAAAATCCAGGAGAAAATGACTGTTCTCAATATTCACATGTGATTCTAGGAGTAAGTCTTCCCCATATTGAGCCTTTGGATGATAACGCAGCCCAAGTTAACACCCTGACTGCACACTCAGGAGCTTATAAGTCAGAGGTGTCCAGTTAAGCTGTAGATTTTTAACTTACAGAAACCATGAGATAAATGTTTAATGTTCTAAGTTACAGTAATTTGGTGTGATTTGATAAACAACAATAGATAACCTAAAATAGATAATATATGTAGTATAATACATAAACAAGGTGTGTTTCTGTATCTGCTTCTTTTGCACATTATGTTTTTAAGGTAAATGTTTTAGTATTTATACATGCCATAGCATTTCTCAGTAGTTAATTTATTGTTATCCCAAGTAGAATTCTCTATAAAAATATCATAATTTTAAGATTATTGGCAGTTAATGAAATACTTTATGTTTCCCTTTTTCAGTCTGCCATGAATAAAGGTGACGCAACTTTCTCCTGGACACACATTTTCATTTTTTCAGAAAAATGGTCTCTTGGTCATGACATAGAAATACTTTTTATTTTTAAGATATTGCCAAAAGCTTCTCAAAAGCTTTAACACTTTACACTCTCATTAATAAAATATGTGAGTTCTACTTGTTCTACATATTCACCAACATTTTCCATTATTAGCATTTTTAATCATAGCCATTCTAATGTTAGAAAATTGTACTGGTTATGGTTTAATTTTCATGTCTCTGATAACTAATGATGCTCTGTAACTTTTAACAGGCTTATTTAACATTTATATATCTTATTTAGTAAATTACAATCAATTTTTATCTGCTTATTTATCTATTAAATTCACTTGTTCTTTCCAGGGGTTCTTTTACATTTTGTAAATGAAATTTTTTTCATATATATCTACAATAACTATTTTATTTCAGGGTGTTTTACCAATTCACTTTTTCTTTTGATGAACAAAAAGTTGATAGTTCTGAAGCCAGGATGACCTTATAAAATAAAAGTCAGTAGACAACATGTTCATACTTAATATATTATGTCTAAATATTGGAAATACCTACTATTCTTATTCATATGTTTACCACTCTTGGTATTTCTCTCTATACATTTGGACTTCTTATATGACTTCAGAATAAAAAACCATTTTATCAATCATTGTCATACAAATTGGCTGGAAGAAAATTAAATTACAGCTTTAAAATTATTTTTAAATAGGTATTTATTTCACCTTCTTTTTGAAATATGCTTTTTCTAGATATAACATTTTAGGTTTCTAGTTTATTTTGTCCCAGCACTTTAAACATGTTATTTCATTATTTTCTTTGACTTCTTTCTCTATTTTATTCTGATAAGATTTTAGTGTCATTTTGCTTACATGATTCTTTAAAATGTGCCATTTTCCAGGAGCCCAGAAGTTTTTATGATTTCCTCCTTTCATTTAGTGTAGTCCTTTGACTATGAAATGCCTAGTACAGTTTTTTCTGTATGTATTCTGATTTGGAGAGACTGAGCATGTTAGATCTCAGAAACCTGAGAAGCCCACTGCACATTTTGGAGAACTATTTTGTCCCAACTGGTTCTCAGCTATTGGCATACTGTCCATATTTACTTGATGGAGATTATCAGAGTTTTTGTTTGTAATTAGAAGGAGATTCACTTGTTTACTAGAAATCCTCAAAAATCTAATTCATCACTTAGCCTATGCATGACCATTACCTGTTGAATAAAACTTCACCTGGTTTATTTTTCCCCTGTGCATTCAGGACTCTTTCTATTATGTTCTCAGACTGAAAATAGCAAAGGGACTCTTATCTCCTATAAAGGGGAATTATTTTTCTAGAATTTAATTTATATAAATTTGTAAATGTTTAGTTCTGTGATAGAAAGGAGACAGCTCTGATTTGGTAACCTCTGTGGCTTGATCTCATTTAACTCATATGAGTTACTAAATACCAATTAAAACCAAAATATTTTTAATGAACCATTAATTTTACTTTCTTTGCAAAGAAAAGTATCCAGTATAATACATTTTTAAAAATTCTGTTTGTCCATTGTAATGCTTTTCATTATATGTAAAATGTTTGTGCTTAGACGTCAGAATCACTTCTTTAAACATGCATTAATACCTTCAAATCTATACTTACATGTAAGTTCTTACCACATATAATCAGTTCAACCTTGAGAAATGTTTCTTTCTATATTGTTTTTCTAAATCATTGTGGACTTTTGATAAATCTGGAAGTAAGATATTAATTTACTCTCAGTAGAATTATCGAAATGCTAAATCAATTTACTCATATATTTATATCAAACTTTCTCTAAAGAAAAAATTTACCATCCATACAAAGTTAGAGAAGAATGAAGTCAGTAAAGAAGACAAATATTAAACTTGGTAGCATACATAGGCCCTTTTTCACTACAAGCATTTGTATTTTTATCAACTGTTTAAAATTAATAAAATAACCAGAAGTTTTCTATTTTATATCTAGTTTTAATTTATATATTTGTTTGTCTTTTATGAAGAAATTTTGAGTTGATATGTATCTGTAAAGTATATGTATCTTTTTAGAGTGACATAAAATATTAAATCATTGAGAAAGTTGTGAAGGCAAAATATTGTATCATAAGGTAACCTTTGATAGTGATAATTTTTATTGATACAAATGAAATTTTACAATTCTCATAGAGAAAAAATGTCTTAAAATTTGAGTGTTTGTATTTTTATTATACTTTAAATTCTGAGGTACATGTGCAGATCATGCAGGATTGTTACGTAGGTATACAAGTGCCATGGTGGTTGCTGCATCCATCCCTCGTCATCTACGTTAGGTATTTAGCCTAATGTTGTCCCTCCACAAACCCCCCACACCCTGCTATCCTTCCCCTCACTCCAACACCACCCAACAAGCCTGGGTGTGTGATGTTCCCCTCCCTGTGTCCCTATGTTCTCATTGTTCAACACCCACTTTGGAGTGAGAACACGCAGTGTTTGGTTTTCTTTCCTTGCTTCAGTTTGCTGAGTGATGGTTTTCACCTTCATCCAAATCCCTGCAAAGTGTCTGTTCATATTCTTCACCCACTTTTTGATGGGGTGGTTTGTGTTTTTCTTGTAAATTTGTTTTACTTCTTTGTAGATTCTGGATATTGCCCTTTGTCAGATGAGTAGACTCCAAAATTTTTTTTTTTTTTTTTTCCCATTCTATTGGTTGCCAGTCCACTCTAATGACTGTTTCTTTTGCTGTGCAGAAGCTCTTATGTTTAATTAGATCCCATTTTTCTATTTTGGCTTTTATTACCATTGCTTTTGGTGTTTTAATCATGAAGTTCTTTCTTGTGCCTATGTCTGAATGGTATTGATTGGTTTTCTTCTAGGATTTTTATGGTGTTGGGTTTTATGTTTAAATCTTTAATTCATCTGGAGTTAATGTTTCTATAAGATGTAAGGAATGGGTCTAGTTTCAGCTTTCTGCACATGACTAGCCAGTTTTCCCAACTCCATTTATTAAGCAGGGAATCCTTTCACCATTGCTTGTTTATGTCAGGTTTGTCAAAGATCAGATGGTTGTAGATGTGTGGTGTTACTTCTGAGGCCTCTGTTCTGTTCCATTGGTCTTTATCTCTGTTTTGGTACCAGTATCATGCTGTTTTGATTATTGTAGCCTTGTAGTATAGTTTGAAGTCAGGTAGCATGATGCCTCCTGCTTTGATCTTTTTGCTTAGAATTGACTTGGCTATGTGGGCTTTCTTTTGGCTCCATATGACGTTTAAGGTGTTTTTTTTTTTTTTTTTTTTTTTTTTTTTTCCACTTCTGTGAAGAAGGTCAATGATGGTAGGGTCGTGCTGAGAAGACTGTATATTCTATGGTTTTGGTGTGGAGAGTTCTGTAGATGTCTATTAGTTCCACTTGGTCCAGATTTCAGTACAAGTCCTGGATATCCTTGTTAATTTTCTATTTCATTCATCTGTCTATTATTTGACAGTGAGTGTCAATGTCTTTGTCATTTGGTATATTTTTGCAGTGGTTGGTACTGGTTGTTTCTTTCC